TGTCACTAAGCAATAAAAATCAAATCTTTAACCCTAACATGATACTAACACGAATAAATATTAGGAAGAACATAGGAAGCATCGCAGGAATCATATTTAATATTAAAATTACCCTAGACATGACACTATGAATCAATAATAACAATTTAAACATGATTTCTACATCATAATATCAATTAAAACCATTAAAATACTTACTTTGATGCCTCGTACCTCTTTCTAATAACAAAATACACACGTTAGTAACTTCAAGGAAAATAATAAACAAACAATTAAATTAAATAATTGAAATAGAGATTTGGGACCAAACCCTCGGAAATTAAAACCTTTCACGTCTAGGGCAAAAGCAACTTCGAATATGGCTAGGTGTTTCTAGATCTTGTGAATGCGGAATTTTGCATGAAAAAACAAAGTTTTGAAAAGAGAAAGAAAGAATGAATGAATGAATGCTAATTAAAACTGATTATAGATGAGAATTGATGATGAATGAATGTATATGAGAATTAGAGAATTAATTATTGCGAATGAAAACTGATTGTAGGTGAATGTAGATGATTATTCGTGAATCAAAACGGAGTTTTTAATACGATATTGATAAAGAAAATCAGCCAAAAAGATAAATTAAACAAAACAGAGTCTGACGCATAAAAAACAGAGCTGGCGCCAGGCACCAATACTAGCGCCAGGCGCCAATGGCTAGCGCCAGGCGCCAAGCCTGGTTCCAGGCGCCAAGGCCTGGGGTCAGACGCCGAGCTTAAATTTAACGCGTTTTCGAAAATCAGATAAGTTTTCCATACTGGAGGATAAAATCGTATAATTTCCTCGAAAATGCTATTTGATTTTGATTAAAACTCTGAAAAGTCAACAAAAGTCAATTTATCAATGCTAATTGAATTAGGAATGAAAAGAACCTTCTAGAAGATTCTAGAAGACTAAAACCATTCCTAATTGTATTAGGAATGATAAATCATGTTAGGCCCTCCCCTAGATCATTGGGTCGTATATAAAGCTCAAACCGAGCCCACTTTGGTAAATTGGCCATAACTTCCTCAATATTCATCGGAATTGGACTTATAATATATCGTTGGAAAGGTCTTTGCAAGCCCCATCCAACTACACTACTATTGGACCCATATCATGGACCAAACAAACTGGATTGGCTGTTTTCTTAAAAATAAGTTTTCAAAAACAGAGAGAAGAGAAAAGAAAATAAAACTTTCCGCAACACTAGACTTTCCACACTTTCGCTTCATTCGATTATGATTCGACATGAAAGGTACTCATCACTGGGTTTGGTTTTGGGGAGACACAAATGGGTGTCTACAGTGACCTTTAGATGATTGTAGATACATTTGTTCCCTTCTTGCTACCCATGTTTTTGCCTTGACTATTTATTGTTTATAAGCCACATTACAAGCTTATTTGGCCCCATTGGTTACTAGTTCCAAGCTTGGCTTGGGGGAGCTATTAGTGAGTGAGGTGAGGGAGTTTGTAGTGTGCTTGTTATTTGCACATTTTAGGTGGGTTTTGAGAAGTTATTTTGTTCTTTATCGTGGTTTATTTTTGATGATTTTGAAAGTTTAATTTTCTTGAAAAATAAAGTATGATGTTAAGAAAAAAATAGAGAAGTTCAAGGGAAAAAAAAAGAGCAAAAGGAAAAAAATTGTTTCAATGTTCAAATGTTCTAGTTCGAGGTTGATCAAAAGAAAGAAAAAAATGATGAGTTTCAATGAAAAATTCAAAGTTTGGAAAATAAAGTTTGTTTATTCACTCAAGTTCTATATTATTATAATTTTTGTGAGTGATATTGTAAGTGTTGGGATTTGTTTGATATGATTGGAGTTATTTGGTGAATTTTTGGTGGAATTGAGTTATGTTGGAGATGATTGGTCATTACTTGTTTTAAACCTTGGTTTTATTGGGATTTGGCCCCCTTAAGCATGGCTTTACTCTCACATTTTCCCAAATTTATCCTACCCTTTACCATAGCCTTACATTACAAGCTTTAAAAGATCTTTCGACCTTTCTGTATAGAGTTGTGTGAATATGGAATTAGTTGTTTATCAATGCAAAGAAAGATTTGATATATTTCGAGTCGACTATTTAGGTTGAGTGCTTGTCTTTTTAAACACACGAGTTTTGTGAGTTTGGGAGGTCATTGTTCACATTAAAGGGGTTGGAATGGAGAGCGATCAAGTACATCTTTTACTCTCCACATAAATGAGAGTAAAAGATGTACTCGAGAGATGCCCTTGGCGGGGCAAAAGAAGAATGAAGTAGCCCTTCGCTCGATTTCGCGCCCGGCTAGGCGCGAGAGATGCCCTTAGTGGAAAAAGGCGGGCCCGATAGGGCGGTGTGGCGCCCGACCGGGCGCGTGTTTTTGAGGAGCTATTTGCGGCAATTTACTTAGTTTTAATTAGGAGTAATTACAAGTTTTGTATAAATACGTTTTAGCGTCTTTAGTTTTGATTACCTCTTCTCTTAGAATTTCTCTCTCTACTTAGTTATTTTCTCGCTCTTAATTTCTCTCTACAACTTTACTCTTGTTCTTGACTCAACTCATTATTTCCGTTAGTTTTGGTAACAATTTCTTCTCTATAAATTTCAGCAATTTTATTTCTTTATTCTATCATGACTTCTTTTATTGATTTGTTTAAATTAGATTTAATTATGTGTGAGTAGTTTAATTATAGGGTTTTGGGGAATCCATAATTAATATGAGGGGATAATTTATTATCGTTGATTATTGATATTGCATGATAATTTCTTATTGAATTGTTATAACGCTTTACAGAGTTAAGCACAAAATTAGGTACTCAATTGTTAAAAATTTCACCTTTTAGGTACTCAATTATTTTTACTTTGCTTTTGGGTACTGATTTAAGAAAATAGGCCAAAAAAATTAAATCAGCCAAAGAATTCAGTACCTTGGGTTAAAGAATTTAGTACCCTTGGTTAAGTATGTGGGCCCCACCCGATTAAAAAATTCGCGGGTCAACCCATTTTTTTCCCTTTCTTTTTCTTTATTCCCCTTTTTGCTCCTTTATTCTTTCCCATTTCTAGAAACTTTGCTGCGAACGTCGAAGAACAACGAGCAACCTTTGTGCTCGAATCTGGGGAAAACGACACTAAAAGCCGCCATTTATTTGAGGTAAGCTCAATTTCTCATCGTTTATGTTGTTAATTTGATATAAATTTTGGATTTTTTGCCCATTTGTTGATGTTTGTTGAGACATAGGGTTTTCGAATTTTGGGGTTTTTTTTTGAACAAATTGATGATGTCGATTGGTTGTGGTTTTTGTGTTAAATTTGGGTTTTCGAATTTTGTTTTTTTTTTTTTTTTTGACAAATGGTTTTGGATGAATTTGTTAAGCAACAATGGCTGATTTTGTGGCTGGACAAAAGAAGCAACAATGGCTGATTTTGTGGCAGAGTTGAACTACTAGCAGCAGGGGGAAGCAGCAGCCCTTCTGTTTCTAGTTTTTTTATTTTTATTTTTTTTCTACAAAATCTGGCAAAACCTTGCAGAATTTATGCCTAAATAACAAGCTCAATGAACCTGTTTTGTTGCTGGTTAAGCTGCTGTTTTTGATGAATTTTGATGAATTTTCTTGCTGTTTTTGATGAATGAATTTTGATGAATTATTATTGATGAATTTTGATGAATTTTCTTGCTGTTTTTGATGAATTTTCTGCCAGGTTCATGCCTCTTTAAATAGAGAAACCAACGGCTAGTTTCTTAGTCAAATTTAATACAATTTTTTTATAAATATTAATTTTTTAATTGGGTGGGGCCCACATACTTAACCAAGGGTACTAAATTCTTTAACCCAAGGTACTGAATTCTTTGGCTGATTTAATTTTTTGGCCTGAATTCTTAACTCAGTACCCAAAAGCAAAGTAAAAATAATTGAGTACCTAAAAGGTGAAATTTTTAACAATTGAGTACCTAATTGTGTGCTTAACTCCGCTTTACAACCAGATTATGAATCGAGTAGATGTGATTTTCTTGTAAAAGTATAGCAATATTGAATTGATGAATCGAGCAGATGTTAATTTGATATTAAAGGCAATTTTCAATAGGAATTTAGATCTAGTAAATTGAAAGAGCCTGTTAGATCTATGTTGATTAATAAATTGCGAGAGCATGTTAATCATGTTATTTGTGCAATGTTAATTATTGGTTGTTATGTTTTATCCCGGAATATTAATTATTGGTGAATCTGTGGTCCTAGGCCTTTTATTATTGATTTCTCCCTCTTATTCTTCTTAGTTTAGTTCCTTTTAATTACAACAATTTTGGTTACTTGATAATCTAGATTATATTAATTAGTTTGGAATAGAAAGACTTGTTTTCCTATGGATTCGACCCTATTTCCCTATCTATATTAGTTAGAGGACTTAGGTAATACTTTTGATTAGGTGATACGACTTTATCCTGTCATCCCTCCATACCCCCAAGAGAGACCTGGGTTCGATCTACACTGCACCCCCCCGTACCTTACCGTGTAAAAAATGACTTAATTATTAAAAAAAAAAAAAACAGATCCAATAATGTCGATTTCAAAATCCTTAAAAAAATACCTCAATTGTATGATTACAAAAGTAACAATTCAGGGCAACGCCTAGGCTACTCGGTAGTTAAAAAAAATCAAAATATGATACTTTAGGAGAGAAAAATCTAAATACCAGTTCATGACTCATTGATCAAGGATGAGCAAACAATATGCATGTGCCACTTGTCATTGTATGAGTGGGCTGTCATTTTTTTCCTTATTTTTTGATGAATATTTATGATCGATCATAAAAAATTAGAAGGCAACCAATGAGTGTATATGGGCATAACTGGGCATTGATAAAGTGGAAGAGAAATATACTAATAACAAAAGTTGTTGATCAACATTGACTTAGGCAACTAATGGCTTTGCTCGGGATTACTATTCTAATATAGTAATCTCATAAATAATATTGTTGGCCCGCCAATGTTCTACCACACATCATATTTATACAAATCAAAACTTATATTCAACAAATAAATATATAAGAAACTCTTAGAGAGAGAGTCTTTAGTGAGATAAAGTCTCAAATATTTTCTTAAACCTTTTCGCTTTTCGCTCCCCTATTTGCAACTAGTGCTTTATAAGTTCTTATATGTCTGATCATCTAAACTTCAATACTCTTGTCTATCCTTATTTTATGGGTGAGGAAACAACTACTCCTCTTCTAGATGAGGAGAATATTGATTGGGATTGCTGTGTCATAGGACAGTTTTGGGATGAGCGTGATTTCTCAATTTCTTTGGTTCAGCGTTTGGTTGTACAGTTTTGGCACCTTCGAGCTCCAGTTCGGGTCATGCCTTATGGAAAGTACTTTATTTTTTGCTGCAGAACTTCTGAGGACGCGGAGGAGCTAGATTCCAGGGGTTGGGTACACTTCAAAGGAAGCTTCATGGTTATTCAAAGGCTCAAAGGCTGCTCGGTTCCTTTACATATGAATTTACATCTTGCGGATATGTGGGTTCGTGTAGAAGATCTTCCTATTAGATATTCAACTCCGGCGGTAGCAGCGACGATTCTCGTTCGAGTTGGAAAAATCACTATGGTAGACAATGAGAATGGTCAGTTTCCTAGTCCATATCCTTGTGTCAAATTATTAGTTAATTTGTCATTACCTTTGATTACAGGTTGTTATTTTCTCGCGAAGGATAATCGTGTTACGTGGGTGCGTTTTAAATACAAAGGTATTATTAGATTTTGCAAAAAGTGTGTGTTTTGTTGGACACGGTCGTGAGACTTGTCCAAATTCCGATGACTATGTTAAGTTTCATTTTGCAACTCGTTTTCGTAAGCTACACGAGACTGGAGCACGGGTGCTATTTGAACCAATTGATTCATCTCTTTATACGGGTGCTATCAGTGGCGTATCCAGGATATCTGAGCTTGTGAGTCACCCTGAATTATTGATCCAACGACCAACTCCACCAATGCCTAATTCTCTTCCTAAGAGCCTCCCTAACATAATAAGGTGATTCCCACGTCCCACACATCTCGCCTGATGACGGCCTTGTTTCCGGGCCTAACATGGGTGACGGGGAGACCTAGGCCCTAAATTAAGTCCAAATTCATCAAATATTTTGTTTGATCAACCATCATTTCTCAAACAAACACCAATTGGGAAAAATTATAAACCCTATTCTAACTCCATAATTGTACCCAATATTCAATCAAAAATCTCAATTTCAACAACATAGCATCTCAAATCTGCTACCAAATCACGTGAAAACAAAAATTCGATACAAACCCTAATTATTTCCATCAATCAAGATTCAAGACCCAAAAAAGATCAAATTACGACCAATCAAGAAAACTCTAAAATATAAAGACAATTAAAACATATAAACATTAAAAAAACAAAAAAAAAAAAACCAACTAATTGAGTTTCAAAACAACAAAACTCAAAAAAAAAATCAACAACCAATTGTAATTTCCAGAACCTAATTCAACAAATTAAAAGTGAAATTCATGGAAATTTGAAAGAACAAATATAATGAAACCTGAAAAATAACGAATTGATTTCTCCAGAGAAAAAGATTGAATTTTTTCCATTAGTTTGAAGTTGGGGTTAATTTGATTATTTGAAGTGAGAAAATCCAGAAATAGCAACATCAAATTCTTACTATTTTGACTTCAAATGCACGATCAAGAAGAGTCAAGAAAAGTCATTAGAGAAGTAATTGAACTTTTGGATCAGAAAGAGAAGGAAAGAGAAAGAATAAAAAAGGAGGAGAGAGAAAGAAGAAGGAAAGAGAGAGAAAGAAGGAAAGTCAGGAATTTTTCAAAATAAAAAATAAAAAATAAAAAAAAAAGTCAGGAAAGAGGAAAGTAAGTAGTCTTTTTTTTTAGGGAAAGTCAGTAGTCTAAACTCTAAAGTCAGTAGTAAGTCAGTGAAAATTCATCGCTTTTCACGCGTTTTTCACTTTTTGTTTTTTTTTAACTAAACTTAATAATTTTTGTCCTCACTGCTGAGTCACGTGACTCATCGTGCACACACATAGATCCGCCACTGGGTGCTATTCGTGGTATACTTCCTTCACCTCAAGTTTGGACTACAGAACTCTGGTGCAGCTCCCATGATAATGAGGGTCCATACTCAAAAGTTCATGAAAAAGATGATAGACATGCCCCATGTATATCTCATGCTATAGATAATGATAACCACTGCCAAAATTTTGGTAGGTGGTCTAATGATGTCACATGTGATTAGCCTTCATGTGATAATGTTGGGAGGGGTAGTGAGTTTTGGCGGAGTCCTTTGGATTATTCTGATGGCCCACCACGTGATCACCATCCAAATGCTAAGTCATGCTCTTTTAATCCAAAGGGCCATAATATTTTGGGCCAAAACTCAAGCACTTGTGTTTTACACTCTAGTACTAATTCTTCTCAGATCAATTCTCCAACCCATGTTCAGTTTAATCAGTGTGGTTCATCCCTAACCACTAGATTGGGCCGACATAATGGTGTTCCTATTATCAGTCAGCATGTTGACCGAGACTCGTCGTTACAAGCATTTGAATTCTCGCCACCATATGATGCTCACACTCCCGTTGTGACTCCAAAATTAACAAACAATTACAAAAATGATTTTCCAATTGTTTCCCCTGTTAAAAAAGACGAGGTTGTTCCTATGGACTTCACACCGCCTCAATCACCATCAACCCTTGATATTTTGATGGATGATAATCAAAATCGAGAGGTAAAGTCACCTATTGCCACCATGAGATCAAGGGGTCGAAGTAGGTCCACTTATTATATTCACAGGGTCGGGAAAAAATGCGGAAATGGGTTCCCAACAAATGCCCTGTGAAGCGTCCGGGTGGTGTGCTGGAACTAATTAAAAGGGGGGGGTTCTGGTTCGGCTGAGTAAATGGGGCCGAGTTTAGTGGGTCCTTTCCATGAGGCAGTATCAGCAGGGTGTGTTCCATGTCCGCCTTTCAAAAAGCGCAAGTGGTCTGGTGTTGGTTCTCTGGTTAAGGATTTTAGTTATGGTACGTTTCCTGAGGGTTTGGTGACCCAGATTGGGTCACCTGGTGCAAGATGAAGGTTACGGCATGGAACTGTAGGGGTTTGGGTCAAGCGGACTCCTCTAAAGTTCCTTACATTGCTTCTCTAGTCCGCTCTAATTATGTGGATATTGTGTTCTTAGCGGAAACTATGGTTTCTGTTCATTTTGTAGTAAATAAATTAGCTTCCTTGTCTTATTTCGGGTTTGTAAGTGTGGATTCAGTGGGGCCTTAGTGGAGGCCTCTTTATGTTTTGGTTTTCTCCTATTCTGGTCGAACCTCTTTTGATTTCTCCACATGTAATATTATGTAGGATACTGGAGAATCAAGTAGTAAGGAATGTCCTATTTATGTATGGTGCGCCGCAAGTTGCGGATCAGTTAACAATTTGGAGGGACATTTCTGATATTGTTGCTTCGTATCCGAATGTATTGTTAATTGGATATTTTAATCAGGTGGACTCTGTTTCAGATAAGGTGGGGGTAACCCAGATATTCAGGGTCGTTATTATTTAATCCAATGGAAATTGGATGTAGGTTTGATTGATATACCGTTTTCGGGACCCGCTTTCACTTGAACTAATGGAAGAACAATGACCGATCCTACTTTTGAAATACTAGATAAGGAATATGCTACATCACTTTGGTTACATGACTGTAGACACCTAAAAATGTCTCCCCAAAACCAAACCCGGTGATGAACACCTTTCACCGACATTATTGGTCGGGTTGAGTATTTAATTTTTGGAGTGCTTAAATCCATGTTCTATCCAATACATTTCATAAACCAACCCATTTCCTAGCTCATTTCCCTAAACCATAACTTGTTTTTCTCTTTTCGTATCCACATCGCAAAACCGAGTTGAACTGATTTTATGGCTATATAATTTTGGTCCAATTATTATTTGGTTGGATAGTCCTTGAAATAATATTTCCAACCATATTTTACAAGCCCAATTCCGAGCTATAACAATAAAGATATGAGCAAAACACTAAACTCGGCCTAAAACCGACACCCTTCCACTAAAACATCCATATCTTAAAATCTACAAATCATTTTGACCTGATTTTAATTGGGTTGGAAAGTAGACTTGATAATATTTCCAATGATATATTATATGCTTTATTACAAGTTACGGATTAAAAGTTATGATTATTTTAAAAACGCGTTAAAAACTAAAATTACCGCGCACCAACTAAAACGCCGCGACGCGGCAAAAGCTGACGTGTCACGGGGCATATTTCCGTGACACGGTGCCCTTTTTGTGTAATTCTGCACATTTAATCCACCGTGTCATGAGATTTTGCACCGTGTCACTGTGCAATTTCCCGTGTCACGGTGCCCATTCCGTGACACGGGGATGTTCCGTGTAATTTCCGCGTACTTTTTTACACCATGACACGGCATACTGCACCGTGCCACGGTAAACAATGTCGTGTCACGGTGCCTGTGCTGTGACATGGGGCATCTCCGTGTCCTTTCCGCGTAAACCCTTCACGCGTTTTCTCTCCCGTACCTTAATTATTTCCCGCGTTGCACTATTTTCCACCGTGTCACGAGAGTGTGCCCCGTCTGATGGTGCCTGGCACCGTGTCGCGGTGTTATTTTTTAGGGTTTTTATCTTTTTAGGGTTCCGTGTGTTCCCTTTGCTCATTTTCCTTATAAATAGGACCCCCCTTTCAGCAATTTAAAGGAACGCGCAGAATGTGAGTTAATATTGCTAATATCATGATTAGGTCATTTTATTATTTGATTTGACTAACGCTATTATTTTTAAATTGCTTCCAATATTAATGTTAATTCTATTATTGTTATTATTGATCACCATATTGCATGTTTAAAGGGAATATGTAATTGAAAATCACGCCTAATAAGATAATTTGGACGACCGGTTTAGGTTTCTTTTTAATCTTGTTGTTAATTCAAGTGGTCACGAATATATTAGAATTATGTGTTGCATTAATATTCAACCAATTTAGTATAATTATAGTTCGGAGCAAATTGAATATTTTGTTTGTATGCCTTTGAGATCGCAGGAATCACTTTTCACTATAAGAATCGAGTAGAGGCCAATACGGGCGAATGCGACTCCATGAATCACTTCGTACCATCATCCCCGATCCTCCTTTCGTGGTTCCGAACCACATGGAGTTAGTAATCTCATGGATTATGAATGGGGTGTAACCTTCACGGCCTCACAGGTCAATCGTTGTTGCCTATCGTTGTCCCTTATCGTGGTTGCCTTTTTATGATCCGTGAACGGTTTACAAGTTCCTTAAAAACTTGTTGGCGACTCCCTACTTTCGTTGTCCCTAATCGTAATGTCAATTCCCACTTCCTATGAGTGACAAGAATATTCACACATGATTTAACGTAGGCTCACTTCAAACGACGCCTACAATGACTGACCTGCAACTTCGATTCAGCACCAACCTATCTATTTTCTGACCATGCTGCAATTGTTCTTTATGACTCTTGCCTACTGGTTGTAGACACCTAAAAATGTCTCCCCGAAACCAAACCCGATTATGAACAATCTTTCACTGCCATTATTGGTCAAGTTGAGTATTTAATCTTTGGAGTGCTTAAATCCATGTTCTATTCAATACATTTCATAAACCAATTCATTTCCTAGCTCATTTCCCTAAATCATAACTTGTTTTCCTCTTTTCGTGTCCACATCGCAAAACTGAGAGAAACTGAACTTTTGGCCTAATAATTTTGATCCAATTATTATTTGGTTGGATAGGCATTGAAATAATCTTTCCAAACATATATCATAAGCCCAATTCCGATTTAAAATGAAGAAGATATGAACCAAACACTAAACTCGGCCCAAAACCGACACCCTTATACTAAAACGGCCATATCTTAAAATCTACAAACTATTTTGACATGATTCCAATTGGGTTAGAAATTAGACTTGATAATATTTCCAATTATATATTATATGCCTTATTCCAAGTTACGGAACAAAAGTTATGATGATTTTAAAAACGGGTAAAAAAACTGGAATTACTGCGCACAATATAAAAGCACCGTGTCACGGCGCCTGATGACATGGCACGGTGCCTGGTGCCATGACACGGTAGTTTACATCGTGTCACATTGATATTTTCGAAGTTTTTTCGCTTGAAAATCCACCGTGGCACAGTACCTGATGCCGTGACACGGTATTTCTCACCGTGTCATGGTGCTTTATCCATGTAATTTCCGCGTTTTCCTACACTGTGACACAGTGTACTATACCGTTCCACGGTGGACACTTCCGTGTCACGGTACGTGTTCCATGTCGCGGAATTTTCTCGTGTCTTTTTCGCGCAAACCCTTCATGCGTTTTCACTTCCCGTAGATCAAATATG